AGAGCCCCTTCTTTCCCGGCCGGCGCCGTATCTCACCCCCCGTGCCGACGTCCAACCCCGACGCCTCTTCTGCCCTCGCCTGGTTCCGCGGCGTTCACGCGGCCACGATGCAACGGAGCGGCGCACGCGCCTGGACACCGCGGACGCCCACCGACCGCGGACACCTGTTCGTGAGGATGTCACGGGTACCGTAACGGTGTCGTTTTCTGTTGCTGATTTTTGGGAGGTAGATGAAAGAAATTGATGGAAGCGTGTAACTGTAGTAAACTTTATTAATTGTCCTATGGTTTCTTTCTGAATTGTGATCGATGTACCTATTTTGTTATTAATCATTTCTTGAATATAAGAGGAAATTCTAGTATTATTCTATGTCTTTAAGGTATAATCATTGGTAAGGAACAGTACGTAATTTATAGTCAGACGAAGTGAATAATACTTATGTTTGTTAAATTCTGTTTGAAGTCTTTATTACGAGTCTGCGTGATATTGTAGGACAAGGAGTTAACACTGGAACTACCGAACATTTAATAGGATTGATATGTAATCCGTATAAATATTGTAATGATCGATTGTTTGCGGTTTCTTCGGATATTCGTTATAGTATTTAAGTGAAGCTATTTATTTTGGAAATTATTTGATATATTCAGTACTTTTGAGGTATCAATAATTGCGAAACAGAAGAATCGAAATCGGTCATTTTGACTGGTACGGTGGTTCTAGTGTTAACATAAATAGCAATAACAACGGTAACAACAACAAAACACAGTAAGGACAAGAATTGAAGACTACAACAAACGCGTGGGCAGCCTGGTCACGGCGCGCAGTGATCTGTTTCGGCAATGCAATTACTATAACCTATCAAAACAAAACAGAAGTAACTCTTTCTTAAGAAACTATATATAATGCACAATAACAATGAAATTGTTAATAATTCTATTGTACGATTTAATTTATTTAAAAAATTGTCATAATTAAGAGATAAATAACAGAAATTATATTTTTTGTATACTTTTGATTAAGCAATATTAGCTCAATAAAGTGTTTCAAGTTCCTAGTATCTACTAAGATTTCCATTAACTTACATTGTACCATTCAGTAACTTCTTACAAAACCTTTTTCTTTTCAATAATCGTGAAAAGAAGAAATTTCCACTATACAATAAAGGGTTAATGACAACTTGCATATGCTACCTTTTTTCCAGATATGTACGTGCAGCTTATGGTTGCTTCAACAATCGTCCCCGACCTAAACAAATAATTCATATGAACATCTCAAACAGTAAGCAAGGGCAAAATTCTTCCGCGCCAGGTCCCAGCAGTCTGTCGCGCGACAAGGTTAGCCACTAGTAAGTAAAATCTTCAATATTACACCTCGGAAACAGTCGAGCTCCCATCGCGGTACCACCAAAATTCCCTCAACCGCCAAGTAAAAAGACCTTCACCCTCGACAACACCAACAACGCCGACCCAGTCACACACTACCTTTGTTTCTCGACCTGTTGGTACGAAAAAAAAACAGAACATAAATTCTTTATGAAGCTTACTTATTCTGACTTACGTCAATCTAAATTATAACTGTTGTTATTGCAAGTGTAAACATTTTTTAAGTAGGGTAAATCGTGGAAAAATAACACATTTTTAAAAGTACTATTACATTATTATTATTTTAAAATGAGGCAACCTTGGCTTGCTTAATTGATAATCCTTTTATTTTATAAACAACACTGACTTTACAGATTTAATTTTTATGACTTTTTCAGTCTATCAAACACGCACTTTTAGTTTCTTTATCGCAGTCGCTCTGCTTTTATCCTTATCTCACTCACGTTACACGTTCCTTTGTCTTCGTCATGTCGAGGTGACTTTGAATGCTATATTATAACAATTATAAATATCATTAATACCTAACAAAAAAAATATATTTATGACAGTGAATTACATGTATGAAGAATAGATAAATTGACTTCTGTGCAAGGTTCAATTAACCGCTAAAAATAATAGGAAATATAGATATTTAACAATTTAAATGAGATTGGACCATCTGTTTCATTAAGTTTTATTTAAATTTATTCATTAAGTTTTGATATTTTATTAACTTCTTACTTGTTTATATTATTTCATTTTATTGCAATACCTTGGATAGAACTACTGTCAAGAAAATGAAAATATGATATGTGTAGTTAAATTTATTTATGAAAATAAAAAAACTATTTCGATTTTGATATATTTCACTTTTAAAATAATTAACAATATTAAGTTTCGTATAGAGAACTCTTGGAGACGATATTCATCATTCCATTCAAGGGGTTAAATCATTACAACAGATGAAACTTGGAAAAATGTCAAAATAACATCGATCCTAATTATTCGTTTAACGCGTTTCAAATTAATATTTTTCGAATATTCCAAATATTGAACATTTTTTAAATCATGTCTTACTTCTACGTTCCATTTTAAAAATGTTTTCATGTATATCTGGACTTTGACGAATTATTGAATATTTTTAATGAACTGTCAGTAAATATTATTTAAATGAAATGTACTTGCAATATTTCATACATTTGAAGGGCCTTCTGGGATTTGGAAAAATTCCATTGGATCTCAGAATCGATAGAACTTAGAATTTTTCAGAGAGTTCTTAGAACGAATGAAACTTCGACGTTTTCCGGAGAAATATTAAATTCATTCAGAAAAATTTCGAAGTTCTATCCATTCCAAGAGCTCGCTGAAATATTCCGAGTCCCATTAATTCTAAGATTCTCCGAAAATTTTCCAAGTTTCAGCAGATCTTGCATTGCGATCTAAAGTCTCCAAAATTAAAAGAAGGTAGCAGGAGCGGTCCTCAATTTACTATAGCTTTATTTTAGCAATGGGAAAGAATAGGGGAAAAATAAAATTGTTTTATCCTTGCACAGCGGATCCTAGGATATTTTAACCCAATGGTAACCAATGCTGTATTTATATATTTGCCTATTTATTTATTGATATGATTATTTACATACCACGTACATATAGTGATTGCATACGTATAATTGTAATAGGTGCAATTAACAATATGCATACAATTTAATGTTATATATACTTTCTTTCCCGAATTTGTATAAAATGGAAATTTTTCTATCGGGTAAAATGACGATTCTTTCTTCGAGATTTAAAATATCAAAAATACGTGTATATAAGATTAAGGGTACCCATAAATTGTCAATCCTTTTTAAATAGTTGATTTAATTTAAGCTAAATATATTTATTAGTGAGGTCTTTTATGATATTTTGCAAAGGGTTGAATGTGAATTTATATTTTTTTAGCCAAATAATAGGAAAAAATTAACATTTCATATTGTTTCATTTCCGCTCAGGCAAAACTTTTCCAATTTCATAAAGATGTCTTTATACTGTTAACCACGCAACTGCAACTCTATCAGCTCTTATTTATAAGAGTAATTTGTGATCCGATTCTACCAGAGCTTTTAAATCACCATTATCGAATTACTAGGTATTTCACTTCTAGCACTATTATTCAGGTCAAAATCACCTTTGGTCAATTTTCTAAGCCAATATGATTGCCCGCCATTTTGTTTCAGGACGAACTTTTCATATTATTTAGCTAAAAAATATAAATTCACATTCAAACTTTATCCATTTTGTTCCATTAACGCACTCAGAATGATTAGTTTAAATCAGTGAAGATTAAATTAATACATACGCGACGATTTAAATTACACGTCGTCACCTGAAAACACGGCTTAAAAGGATGCCTCCGAAAATAAGACAATTAATCATTGTATTATTAGGCTCACCGCTTCAAAGCGATGGGTGCCGTGTACACGGAACCCACTGACAACACGCGAAACAGTCGAAAGTCAGGTAATTAAGACTAAAACACCGGCGTCAGTCCATTTCGCTAATTTTTACCACGCAAATCGATTGATCGCTGGCCTGACGTCACCTGACGAATGAATGACGTACGATTCCTACACGATATTCGATTCCCTAAACCAATCTTAGCTTTTGGAGGCGTTCGCCGTTCCAGCCACGCAAAAGCTCTTTTTTATAAAGATAAACGTAATGATTCTATTTCTTTGAGACTTCTAAAATCGTCGAGCAATGAATAATTTATAATACATCATCGAACGAATCGTTGGAGTAAGAATGTACGTATATGTTTTGTCTGTGATAAAAATATATTCCTTCGAGAGATTGATATTGAACTAAAATATCCTTTGTTAATTGTTATTGTTATTAACGTTACTATATCCTTTTTGTAATATCTTTGCAATAAGTTTTTGCAATATTGTTTTATTTTCTGTACATTATTTTTGTAATTATGTTTTATAATTATAACATTGACTTTTAATTGTAAATACCGTTTCATTAGCATAACCAAACAATATTTTCAATGGTCGTGGAATGTTTCAATTGTTTCCAAACAATAATTCAATTTGCAAAAATATTCCCATTCTTCAACCGTTTTAAGTGTCCTTCGGTTTGACTCATTAAAATCTTGTACTTTTTAAATGTAGAATTTCCTTTTTAAAGAACAACATTTGCCGGCGTTAAACCTTAATTCTAAGATACAAATCGAGATACTATAATCTATTTTCGAATAAAAATTCCTCGTGAATAAATATTTCAAAGAACAATGAATTACACGAAACGAACCCCATGTCTACTTAAATAAAACACACATGATTCCCTGTAAAATTAATAAATATTCTCATCTTATCATAATAGATAAGTTCAACTAAAAATATTTTTCTGTAACAAACAGCTCACAAAATACTATTATATGATCTATTAAATCGATCAACCGATACATCGTGTTTCGAATTTAAATAAATTGCCCCTGGAAACAGCAGCACTTATAGTTCTTTTTAAATTGTACATGAAATGGGAACGAAATTATCATTATCGCGGTAATAGCGGAGGAGAAAGAAGGAAAACAATAAAACCGGCGGAAATGAAATTACAT